CTTGTGGAACACCACAGCTCACTGGGAGGGGGGGGGGACAGAGTACCGTTTACCTCCACCATCTGTTCTCTCCCCTCCAGGTAGGATTGCATCCAGCTCACCGATAGTTTATCAAAACCAATTGCTTTTAGCTTGTCAATCAGAATGGGGTGATTGACAGTGTCGAAAGCCTTTTGTAGGTCCAGCATCACCATGCCGCAGTATTTACCCTCGTCCACCTCTTGTTTGATGTGGTCGTTCAAATAAAGAAGGCATGTGTCAGTGGAGTGGGATGTTCTAAAGCCAGATTGAAATTCATAGATTAGTTTCTTTTCTGCGAGGTACTTTTCGACCTGTTCATATACTATTTTTTCCATGACTTTCGAGATGGAGGTAAGTATAGAAACAGGGCGGTAGTTGCCTGGGTCCAATTTGCTGCCCTTTTTGTGCAGGGGGGTTACTCTTGCAATTTTGAAGTCTTTGGGTACTTTTCCCTGTTTTATGGAGAGGTTAATTATGTGAGCTATGACTGGTGAGATGGCGGTTGCTGTGTCTCTGAGGAATTTGGAGGGGATATTGTCGTGGCCAGTGGCCTTGTTAGGTTTGAGGGCGCTCAGTTTAATGAGTACCTCTGCTGTTGTTACCCTTGCTAGACTGAAATCATCTTTGCGTACCCCTAGGTTTTTGTAGTAGGTCATGATGTGATCTACTCCAAAAAGCCCTGAGTGGGAGGGTAATTTATTTACAAGAGTTGTGGCTATGTTTGTGAAAAAAAATGTTCAAGTACTTGGCCACATCCAGTTTGTCTGTGATGAGCCTGTTATCTGTCTTTATGTTTACGTTTGAAAATCTCGTTTTGAGTTTTTTACTGCAGCCAAGCTGGTTATTGAGTAATTTCCAAAGTTCACGGGGTTTATTTTTGTTTTCCTCAGTTTTGTCATTGATGAAATTCTTTTTGGCAGTTTTGATCATGGAGCTTACGTCATTTCTTAGTCTGTTTCTTTCAATTTTTAGTTCAGTCACGTGGGCCTGGAGTTCACTGCTCGTGCTTTTGGAAAGCATTGACTGACTTTTATGAAACTCAGAGCATTTTTTGTCTCTGGTTTTCATGGCGGTCAGTATGCCGGAGTGCATCCACGGCTCAGCGCGATTTTTTTACCCTGGTTGTTCTTAGGGGGGGCCAAATCATTGAGTATTGCAGAGAATTTGTTTTTGAAACCAAGCCATGTTTCTTCAACTTGTGTACCACTGAGCTCATCTGACCAGTCCAGGCTCTCCAGTTCTAGGTTAAAGGCCTCGCTAGAGTAGTTTTTGAGGTCTCTAGATATGACTGTTTTGTGACAGCCGGCCTTTTGTTTTAGCTTTTTGCGGGTACAGAATATCATATAATGATCACTTAAACCGCATGCTATAACCCCTTTACTGGAGATCCTGGACCTGTCAGAGGTCAGAATGAGATCAATGGTAGTTTGTGTTGTTTCACATACCCGGGTGGGTTGGGTGATTAGCTGGCTGAAGCCGTGCAGATCACAAATCCTACTGAAGGACTTGAAGACGGACGTGTCTTTACGTTGCATATCGTGTTCCAGTCTCCAATAATAATTGTCTCTACATCCCCCACATCAGCCAAACACCCATCTAATGTATCATAAAAGTCACTCTGTTCCGGTGGTCTATAGATTGTCCCGACTATTACAGATTTAGCATTGTCAAAAAGAATTTCAACCCACACAGATTCAATATTTTCATGATGCAGGTCAGTACGGTTTTTGAAATTGGTGTCTTTATGTATGTACATGCAGACACCACCTCCATTCACGTTCCTGTCCCTTCTCACTACAAGATAATCTTCAATTTCAATCTCTGAATCTGTAATGGAATTGTCCAATTTGGTCTCAGAAAAGCATAATATGCTTGCCTTACCGTTCATGAACAGTTGCCTGAGTTCAGCCAGTTTGTGTCTCAGGCTGTTAGTGTTCAGATGAAAAATATGTAGTCCATTTTTGTTGTTTAAATGCATAATGTCGTCAGCTTGAAGATATTTGTCTTTGTCCGTTACAGCAAACGGCTTGCGGCCTGCCGTGGTGCTTGGAGCGGTGGGGTGGTGGGGGGAGGGAGGCTCCGTTGTAGCTTTAGCCGTCGATATGCTAGCAGGGTGGCTAACAACATGGTGGATATTTGTTCCCTCGGATCTCGGTTCTCTTCCTCTCGTCACTGCCTCATGCGTGTCTGTCTGCCGAGGCGTCCCCGGGGGAATGTCGAAGTCTCCGTTGATTCCTCGGTCTCCGCTGTCTCCATGGTCTCTGTTGTCGTCGCGTAGTTGTTGCTGTAGCGGAAGAGATGCTAGTTGTGATGCTAGCTCCTCGAGCCTGCAGGAATGGCTTCTTGTCTGCACCGGGCCCGGATTCAGATGGATGTCTCCCGCTAACAATAAGACCAAGACGATCATACTTCTTCGGTCTAGTTTGCCTGACGGGGGTAAGTACTTTCGCGTCGGGTTTTGCAGTTAATAATGCATGAATGCTTGCACTTCCAAAAGCGAGGTGTTTCCTTTCCCAGCCGTTGAGAAGGTAAAAGTCATTGTGGTTCATTTTATCCCTGCTTTCACTACTCTCCTTTTCTAAGTGATGTTGCCTCATTGATGAGTTGAGGTAGGAGTCCATAATCCATATTGTCAGGAGGATGAAATATGTAAAAAATCGTGAGGAATAACCTCCAAAGCGGGAGCTCTCGAAAATGCGACCACTCATAGCGAAACCGGAAGACTTTGGTCATGAAGAATATGTTTCTCTGTTGTCCCTGTTCATAAAGCATAAAACAACAGCATCAGAGCACGGTGCAGAGTCTCTAGATGAGTTTACAGTAGTCCCTCGTTCTTATTAAACATCCATGTTGTAGTCCGCTGTATAGAAAACTGTAGTTTCCATAGTTTCCCCACCGCAGCAGGCGCACATTTATGACCTCCGCTGGCGCATCATAAACACGTCGGATAGTGAAAGTGCAGTCGGATTCTCTAAAGTACCGCAGCCTCTTCTCCTAAATCCTTTTGAATTCTCCTATCCACTATCCCTTAACCCCATGACGTTTCACTCCGAGGTCAAGGAATAGACGATAGGGTTAGAACTTAGGAGCTGTTTTTTTGGAGTATTCGAACGCAACCCAGGTCTCCCAGCTGTGTGCGTCACTCTTTAGTGTCCCCTGGTCTCCAGCTGTGTGCGTCACTCTTTAGTGTCCCCTGGTCTCCCAGCTGTGTGCGTCACTCTTCAGTGTCCCCTGGTCTCCCAGCTGTGTGCGTCACTCTTTAGTGTCCCCTGGTCTCCCAGCTGTGTGCGTCACTCTTTAGTGTCCCCTGGTCTCCAGCTGTGTGCGTCACTTTTTAGTGTCCCCTGGTCTCCAGCTGTGTGCGTCACTCTTTAGTGTCCCCTGGTCTCCCAGCTATGTGCGTCACTCTTTAGTGTCCCCTGGTCTCCCAGCTGTGTGCGTCACTCTTTAGTGTCCCCTTGTCTCCCAGCTGTGTGCGTCACTTTTTAATGTCCCCTGGTCTCCAGCTGTGTGCGTCACTTTTTAGTGTCCCCTGTTCTCCCAGCTATGTGCGTCACTCTTTAGTGTCCCCTGGTCTCCCAGCTGTGTGCGTCACTCTTTAGTGTCCCCTGGTCTCCCAGCTGTGTGCGTCACTCTTTAGTGTCCCCTGGTCTCCCAGCTGTGTGCGTCACTCTTTAGTGTCCCCTGGTCTCCCAGCTGTGTGCGTCACTCTTTAGTGTCCCCTGGTCTCCCAGCTGTGTGCGTCACTCTTTAGTGTCCCCTGGTCTCTCAGCTGTGTGCGTCACTCTTTAGTGTCCCCTGGTCTCCCAGCTGTGTGCGTCACTCTTTAGTGTCCACTGGTCTCCAGCTGTGTGCGTCACTCTTTAGTGTCCCCTGGTCTCCAGCTGTGTGCGTCACTCTTTAGTGTCCCCTGGTCTCCGTTGTGTTTGAGCTTCTTGCAGCGTTTGGTTTCTGCAGCTGTTACTAAACGCTGCGCATGTCTCCTCAAGTTGCTGAATGTTCTCTAAAAGCTGCATGTGTTGTTTCTGAAGATGTTTCTTCATGTGGAACCTTTGGGTTTTTATATCGGCATCCTTTCTGAAGCTGCAGAGCGTTTCTCATGATGGAGGATTTTAAATCGTTATAGCGTCGGCCCCCTTAAACTGGCATTAGCATTAGCGTCACCTTTCAGATGTAAGAAGTACCTTATTCCTAATTCACTTCAATTACATTGTATGTGATGAAACAACACAATAATATGTTGTACTGACCAGGAGAGAAACAATTGTATTGATTTTACAATGTAAACATGTATTTGCGAGCAGAAGTGACTGTTTTTGGTGTTTCTTTCACATCAATATAACAGAACCTGAGAGATGACGTAGAGAGAAGACTTTAAAAGCTTTGGCTTCCAGCGCTTGTAATAACTGGCCGAGCCAAAACAGCGCATTAGATCTGTGAGAACACAAAATATGAGCGGCAGAGGACATAATCCATTTTGGGATACAATCCTATATTGCACTAATCTGAAGGGGAAGGGATGATCATGTTATTTCATAGAAAACCGGATGGAGTGATTTCATCCAAATGTGGATCTCTGCTGGGACAAACAACGCCATGTGTGCACACGTTTTATTTTTGTAGTTCTGCATGTAGCTAGCATTCGGGTTTCTACAGTTTGTTGAGATTTTATTGGAAACGATTTTCACAGGGTCAATTTCTAAAATAATGAACAATAAACCCAGGCAGGGTTCAGATCTGGAAAGAGAATATTTGCATGCTGAAAAGTACATTTATGCAAGAACTGAACTTAAGTACGAATTGGAGGTCCTTGGAATTCAATTGTGTATTTTCCTTCTGTGTCACGTATACTTGTACTCAACTGAAATATAAAGGGAAATATTTTGACTTCACTTAATTTGTTTTACTCTATAGATTCAGATTTTTAAACACAGAAGAGAATCTGTTTTCGTCTCATTATGGTTTTGTTTCCTCTGCAGATTCATGGAGGAGCTGAGCGGGGATCCAAACTGTGAAGACATGCAGAGAAAAGACCAGAGATTACCATTCCAGGTGAGAGGACTCTTTAAAGTAGAGACACTACATACTGAAATACACCTGAACATCAGCAGGAGAGGACTCTTTAAAGTAGAGACACTACATACTGATATACACCTGAACATCAGCAGGAGAGGACTCTTTAAAGTAGAGACACTACATACTGATATACACCTGAACATCAGCAGGAGAGGACTCTTTAAAGTAGAGTCACTACATACTGATATACACCTGAACATCAGCAGGAGAGGACTCTTTAAAGTAGAGACACTACATACTGAAATACACCTGAACATCAGCAGGAGAGGACTCTTTAAAGTAGAGACACTACATACTGATATACACCTGAACATCAGCAGGAGAGGACTCTTTAAAGTAGAGACACTACATACTGATATACACCTGAACATCAGCAGGAGAGGACTCTTTAAAGTAGAGACACTACATACTGATATACACCTGAACATCAGCAGGAGAGGACTCTTTAAAGTAGAGACACTACATACTGATATACACCTGAACATCAGCAGGAGAGGACTCTTTAAAGTAGAGACACTACATACTGATATACACCTGAACATCAGCAGGAGGGGACTCTTTAAAGTAGAGACACTACATACTGATATACACCTGAACATCAGCAGGAGAGGACTCTTTAAAGTAGAGACACTACATACTGATATACACCTGAACATCATCAGGAGAGGACTCTTTAAAGTAGAGACACTACATACTGATATACACCTGAACACCAGCAGGAGAGGACTCTTTAAAGTAGAGACACTACATACTGATATACACCTGAACATCAGCAGGAGAGGACTCTTTCAAGTAGAGACACTACATACTGATATACACCTGAACACCAGCAGGAGAGGACTCTTTAAAGTAGAGACACTACATACTGATATACACCTGAACATCAGCAGGAGAGGACTCTTTCAAGTAGAGACACTACATACTGATATACACCTGAACATCAGCAGGAGAGGACTCTTTAAAGTAGAGACACTACATACTGATATACACCTGAACATCAGCAGGAGAGGACTCTTTCAAGTAGAGACACTACATACTGATATACACCTGAACATCAGCAGGAGAGGACTCTTTAAAGTAGAGACATACTGATATGAACCTAAACATATTTTGTATTTCTGTATTTTATTATATATGTTGCATTGTTGGAGGAGCTCAGGTCAGAATAATTTCATTGCCATTTCTACACTGTAGCTTTGTGCATATGACAATAAAACCTTTGAATCTTGAATCTCCAGATCTTCCCTGGCCACGACCACGCAAAGGAGCGCCTGCCCTCCATCGTGGTGGAGCCCACGGAGCTCAGCGAGGTGGAGAGCGGCGAGCTGCGATGGCCTCCGGAAAACCCCGAAATGGAGGAAGACGAGGAGGATTTATTCCTGGAACAATGCATCCCCCCCGCAAACATCGCAGACTGGGGAGACGAAGAGGAGGAAGAGGAGACGTCGGTTAACCTGAACCAGCAGCAAGGCTTGACACTCATCGGTGAGTCTGACATGTGATATTCAAAGGTGGAAGAAATATTACTTTCTATTCTATTTTATTTGTATTTACTTGCACTATTTTATCTGTTTTATTGTGTTGCACTGTTGGAGGATTCTGTGACCTCAGATTTTCATTGATATATCTACAGAGATGGAGAAAGTAAACACATCCTGTACTCAAGTAGAAGTACACACATCCTGTACTCAAGTAGAAGTACAGATACTCGTGTTTAAAAATACTCTGGTGAAAGTAGAAGTACTGACTAAACTTCTTTACTCAGGTGAAAGTAAAGAGGCTTTGAAATGTACTTCAGTAAAAAGTACCCATAACTAGCAGCTGTTTTAAAGAGTACCTGACCTCCCTTTATATTAATAGAACAATAATGTCATTGTTAGCTAATGAATGTTTCCATGCTGAACAACGGCAACATGACAACGTTTTCATTGGTCCCTCTTCTTTAGAGAAGACCAGGAAATGATGGATACACGGATCGTGTTCAAATCAATAGGCACGCAATGACTCTAAATAATAATGATCACGCCACCAAACACACATTCAAACTAAAGGAACCAGCCTGTTTGGAAAATGTGAGAAGTAGAAAGTACAGGTATTTGTGTTCAACATGTAAGAAGTAGAAAGTACAGGTATTTGTGTTCAACATGTAAGAAGTAGAAAGTACAGGTATTTGTGTTCAACATGTGAGAAGTAGAAAGTACAGGTATTTGTGTTCAACATGTAAGAAGTAGAAAGTACAGGTATTTGGGTTCAACATGTGAGAAGTAGAAAGTACAGGTATTTGTGTTCAACATGTAAGAAGTAGAAAGTACAGGTATTTGTGTTCAACATGTAAGAAGTAGAAAGTACAGGTATTTGTGTTCAACATGTAAGAAGTAGAAAGTACAGGTATTTGGGTTCAACATGTGAGAAGTAGAAAGTACAGGTATTTGGGTTCAACATGTAAGAAGTAGAAAGTACAGGTATTTGTGTTCAAAGTGTAAGAAGTAGGAAGTACAGGTATTTGAGTTCAACATGTAAGAAGTAGAAAGTACAGGTATTTGAGTTCAACATGTAAGAAGTAGAAAGTACAGGTATTTGAGTTCAACATGTAAGAAGTAGAAAGTACAGGTATTTGTGTTCAAAATGTAAGAAGTAGAAAGTACAGGTATTTGTGTTCAAAGTGTAAGAAGTAGGAAGTACAGGTATTTGAGTTCAACATGTAAGAAGTAGAAAGTACAGGTATTTGGGTTCAACATGTAAGAAGTAGAAAGTACAGGTATTTGAGTTCAACATGTGAGAAGTAGAAAGTACAGGTATTTGAGTTCAACATGTAAGAAGTAGAAAGTACAGGTATTTGTGTTCAAAATGTAAGAAGTAGGAAGTACAGGTATTTGAGTTCAACATGTAAGAAGTAGAAAGTACAGGTATTTGGGTTCAAAGTGTAAGAAGTAGGAAGTACAGGTATTTGAGTTCAACATGTGAGAAGTAGAAAGTACAGGTATTTGAGTTCAACATGTAAGAAGTAGAAAGTACAGGTATTTGTGTTCAAAATGTAAGAAGTAGAAAGTACAGGTATTTGTGTTCAACATGTAAGAAGTAGAAAGTACAGGTATTTGTGTTCAAAATGTAAGAAGTAGAAAGTACAGGTATTTGAGTTCAACATGTAAGAAGTAGAAAGTACAGGTATTTGTGTTCAACGTGTAAGAAGTAGAAAGTACAGGTATTTGTGTTCAAAATGTAAGAAGTAGAAAGTACAGGTATTTGTGTTCAACGTGTAAGAAGTAGAAAGTACAGGTATTTGTGTTCAAAATGTAAGAAGTAGAAAGTACAGGTATTTGAGTTCAACATGTGAGAAGTAGAAAGTACAGGTATTTGTGTTCAACATGTAAGAAGTAGGAAGTACAGGTATTTGAGTTCAACATGTAAGAAGTAGAAAGTACAGGTATTTGTGTTCAACATGTAAGAAGTAGAAAGTACAGGTATTTGTGTTCAACATGTAAGAAGTAGAAAGTACAGGTATTTGAGTTCAACATGTAAGAAGTAGGAAGTACAGGTATTTGAGTTCAACATGTAAGAAGTAGAAAGTACAGGTATTTGTGTTCAACATGTAAGAAGTAGAAAGTACAGGTATTTGTGTTCAAAATGTAAGAAGTAGAAAGTACAGGTATTTGAGTTCAAAATGTAAGAAGTAGAAAGTACAGGTATTTGAGTTCAAAATGTAAGAAGTAGAAAGTACAGGTATTTGTGTTCAACATGTAAGAAGTAGAAAGTACAGGTATTTGTGTTCAAAATGTAAGAAGTAGAAAGTACAGGTATTTGTGTTCAAAATGTAAGAAGTAGAAAGTACAGGTATTTGTGTTCAACATGTAAGAAGTAGAAAGTACAGGTATTTGTGTTCAAAATTCATAACCTGGCCCCATCCTACCTGACTGACCTCCTCCACAGACACACTCCCACTCGCTCCCTCCGCTCTGCTACTGCCAACATCCTGTCCCCCCCCACCCGGACCAACCTCAAGTCCTGGGGCGGCAGAGCCTTCTCCGTTGCTGCACCCACTCTCTGGAACTCACTACCCCAATCCATCAGAGACTCTTCCTCCCTCACAGCATTCAAAACATCACTCAAAACCCACCTGTTCAACACTGCATTCTGACCACTGACCACCCCCCCCCCCTATTTTCTGTTTTGTTTATCTCTTTGTATTTCTTTGTTTTTTTGTTGTCTTTTTTAATTCTCTGTCAAAGCGTCTTTGAGTCTCCTGAAAAGCGCTATATAAGTCCCATGTATTATTATTATTATTATTATTATTATTATTATTATTATTATGAGAAACCAATGTGAGTTTGGAAAATTGCACAATATAAATCTATTTTAGTAGACCTCAACAATGGAGTTATGATCAGTAGAAATGGCCATGACATGGGACCTTTAAGTACAATAACGAAGTTGACAATAAAAGCCTTTAATCTTGAATCTAATATGTTCTGAAAACACTCTATTAAAGATTCTCACAGAGTCAGCGCTTTTATACCATCCAATCCAATCCACTTTATTTCTATAGCACATTTTAAAAACAGAGGGTTTGCCAAAGTGCTTCACAATGAACATAACATTATAATAAAATATAATATTACAAGAACTGATAAAAGGTACACATAAGAATAGATAAAAGGCACACATAAGAATAAATACAAGGCACATAACCTTCACTTCTCTAATTATTTGGTGGGAATTTGACCTCACAGACTGGAAACAGACAAAGTGGTGTTGCATGCCACCAGAAACCAAATAATAATAATAAGAGTCAGCATTTCCAGGGTGTCTTGTTTCATTCTGGAAAACGCCCAGATTTTCTGGGCCCTAGTCTTGAAGTCAGTGGATTACTGAGTGTGTTCTTGGTTGTTATCCTAAAACATGGCCTGTGGTTAACACAAACTGAAGAGATTTTTGCGTTTTGTTATACAACATAAAATACGTTGCTTATGTCGAATATGGTTTTGGATTATTGCAGAAAATAATCTCTGTGTCAAACAAATGTTTATGATCCTTACACGTTTAGTTCAGCAGGATAATCTCCACATATTAAAACCACTTTATGATTTCTGAAGCAAAAAGCTAACGTTAGGCTATAAAGGCACTACAGCACGGTCACATGACTTCACATCACCACCGCTAAGCTAAAGGCGGCTAATGTTGGGCTTTAAAGGAACTACAGCACGGTCACATGACTTCACGTCACCACCGCTAAGCTAAAGGCGGCTAATGTTGGGCTTTAAACGAACTACAGCACGGTCACATGACTTCACATCACCACCGCTAAGCTAAAGGCGGCTAATGTTGGGCTTTAAAGGAACTACAGCACGGTCACATGACTTCACGTCACCACCGCTAAGCTAAAGGCGGCTAATGTTGGGCTATAAAGGAACTACAGCACGGTCACATGACTTCACGTCACCACCGCTAAGCTAAAGGCGGCTAATGTTGGGCATGCAACACAGTCTCACGGCATGTCGTGTTATAGTCACGAAATTAATCTATTGATTCGTGTTCACCAACACGATTTCGCAATTTTTTTCGTGTCACACAGAACGATTTTAAAAGCAATGTAAATAATAACAAATTAGAAGGAAAAAGACATTAAAAAAAATACAGATTTCAGTATTCTGACACAGAACGATTTTAGAAGCAATGTATTTCTATTGGTAGTATGTTTCGTGCCTGCACCAAATAATAACAAATTAGAAGGAAAAAAAGATGTCATAAAATACAGATGTCAGTATTCTGAGGCTCTGAGCCATTTCTTTTCCTCACTGACGGCAAAAAAACTCAGACATTATACAATTTAAAATAAAAGGGATAGGGTTAGGCTTAGGGTAAGATATTGAGTAAGAACATGTTTTTATGAACCACACAGCTTCTGGTCTTCAAAGACCCGACCGGACAAAAAGACGTGTTGCAGGCACGAAACATACTACCAATAGAAATACATTGCATTTAAAATCGTTCTGTGTGACACGAAAAAAAGGTGAAAATCGTGTTGGTGAACACGAATCAATAGATTAAATTAATTTCGTGACTAATAACACGAAATGCCGTGAGACTGGGTTGGGGCATGATGACATTTAGTCGTCTCATTTAGACACTTGTTAGCAACCTCTGTTTTTAAATTCACTGACGTATTTTTTGTCGTACACTTCAAATCTCTTCAGCTTAAGTGTTAACCACAGACTATATTTCAGGATAACAACCAAAAACACACTCATAACTCCACTGACTTCCACACCAGGGCACAGGAAGTGATAAAATGCGCAATCATTTCCCGGTTTTAGCACTAATTCTTGCACCACTCTATACACAGGAGCATAACCTATTTATGGTAGTATTCTAAAGCACCTAACTGACACTCTTGTTTTCAACATAGCATTAACACATGGTGTCTTTATATGTTTCTGCAGACCTCCAGTCAGATGCTTTTAGAGACGACACCCCCACTCTTCCCCCGAGCAGCGCTCCGGCCCTCAACTGACTTCACCTCGGAGGACCTGCGGTGAGGAAACATCCTGAAGTTGAGTCTTGTAACAACTGTGACGAAACACAGCGACACAGATTCTAACAGCGACAGAAAACGTGAACTAAAAAGCCAATGAGGAAAACACCAGTATTTCAAAAGATGTCAGGATGTCTACACTCAGACATACAGAAGTCAGCAAGGTGTCCTTTTTAACTTTTAGGGAACCTTTTGCTAACTCTGCGTTTCATTTCCCGTGTTATTTCCTACATGTTTAAAGGGCTAAGTGAGGCATTAGGGCTAAAGGAGCACATCCTGCTATGGCAAGGCATGTTATTTAGTTTGTGTTCTGTTTTATTTTACAATTACGTCATCTCTTTAGCCTGGACTTTATCAAACATCTTTCCCACCGGTGGCTTCTCAAGGGTTTTAGCTTCACTTGGTTGTGGATCCATTTTGCTTTTTGCTGTGGAGCAATTAAAGATGAGACTAGTGGTATTTCCTCTAAATATCTCAAGGAAGCCATTACTTCTAGTGGGATGTATCATCATGCATTATGATGACTGACTCATTCCCACAGTGTTACAACAATCACTGGAGTTTTTTGTGGAAATGCAGTTATTAAGCCATGTTGAAGCAAAAGAAGAAGAAGCAGGCAGCTCTTAATGTTCATTACAGCAGTTGTAGACGTCATTGAGAATAGTAGTTTTGTAATAATAGTCTCATTTGTTTGTAGGCTGATTTGTGAATAACTTGTATATATGTAAAAGTGTTTGTGTTGATGTAAAATGGTTATTATGAATTTGACAATAAAGTATATTGTCCAACTAATGCATGACATTTTTTTTGGGGTGCTGAGATTTATAATTTAGGAAATGCAATGTTACAATAAAAACTACAATATTATTTATGGGAAATGTGCAAATTATATGTTAATGACTGTTCAATGTTTGCCTCTCATGCTATTGATCTTTGATTGTTTCTATGGTGGCAGACAAGTGCAAACATGTCTTCTTGGGCCCAATCCCAAACCGCCCCTACACCCTACCCCTACACCCTACCCCTACACCCTACCCCAACACCCTACCCCAACACCCTACCCCTACACCCTACCCCTACACCCTACCCCTACACCCTACCCCAACACCCTACCCCAACACACTACCCCTCCGTTTGCGCGTTCACGTGGAGGGTCCGCCACATTAAGTGCTGTTCCAAACCAACGAGTGTGGAGCGGTGTGGAGGGGGAGTGGGCTATCAAGCCCTCAAACAGCGAGTCTGCAGCGGTGCTGACTGGAGACCGGTCTCTACCTGACCGGAGTCACGCTGTGTGTGTCCGTCAGGAAACACGCTGTTTACAAACAGTTCCAGCAAACATCCACTGATAAACTGCGATGTTAACTACCTCATGATAACCTCATATGTTTTTAACTTAGGATCATACCTGTGTTTAGTCTAGAAAAAGGTCAATGTGTGCATTTTATTATAAAGTTGTGTATATTTACAGACTGTTGCAAAAACTAAGAAGCTTATAATCATCAGGTTTAAAACTAATAGAGCTTTACAGAAAAAGTTTCCATAATGTGATTTTATTTCCAGTGCAGATTTCAGAATGTCTCTCTGGGCAACAAAACAATACACGTTCTATGGTCTCTGGTTATTGGCAACCATCACAATTACCAGTTGGATGTTTTCCAATTAGATGCAGTGAGGAGTTCAATCTGGAGCGTCCTAATCTTATCCTGCTAACGATGCTCTGGTCTCCCCTGTTCCCCCCCCCCCCCCAAGTGCTTTCCATTCCTACTTCCATTTGAATCGAATGTAAATGTCTTCCCTTTGTGTTATTGTCCCATAACTCGTGCCATTATGTTTTGATTCAAACATGTGTTTTGGCACATTAGTGTTTTTATATCTGCCTCGTTTCTGAAGCTGCAGCGCGTTTCGTTTTGTCCTAATGGAAGAGTTTTGGGACGCTGTAACACGTTTGCACGGGTCGGCCACCGTAGTTTTATTATCTGCAGCAATACACTATATAAGATGCCATTTATAGATAAGAAACACATAAATGAAGCATGAAGATATAAACCAGAAGGCGCTGCACATTATATTTTCTAATGACTTTTTACTTTCTTCAAGAAAAGTCTTCACTCCTTTCTTCAGTCTGTCAGGATGTTGTGCAAGTGCATGGGTGGACGTATGGGTGTGTGAGGATTGGAAGATATAACTCACTCCTAAAAGCGGAACTGCGTCAGAACTTCCTCTGTGCAGTGTGTGTGCAACAGGTCACTGACACGGTAAGTCGAAATATCAGATATATCACATTTTAAGTTTAAAATGCGACTGTTCTGTAAATAGATTTATGAGATAATTCAATTTAAATCATGTTCAATTCTAATGATCTGTTATGACTTAAGGGATAGTTTTGTTTAGCTGTAGTTTACCACATTATTGCTTGGTTCTTAAAGTTCATATTTGCTTAAATGTTTCTTACACCAAATAAGTGTATATGTTGTTTATGTTAAATTCAGCATGATAAATCGTCATAAAGCTGAATTATGATGTCTTTATAATGCATACAAAGACTAAGAAAAGAGAAGAGATCATTTATACCAGATTTTATTTCCATCTTTAAACAACTTTTTTCCCCCTAATTCCCAGTTCTACCCAGCCATGGATTCTTCCTTCAAATACAATGAATTTATCAGTGATTTCTCCGATTATGATTTGAACTACACATCCCTCGGTTCATATGATTTGAACTACACACTGCCCGTGTTCCCTGACTCTCTGACGCCTGAGATGCAACCGATCCAGATCGCGTCTCTGGTTTTCTACGGCCTGGTGGTCCTGCTGGGGGTCCCCGGGAACGCTGTGGTGGTCTGGGTGACGGGCTTCTGCATGCCCCGTTCCGTCACCTCCCTCTGGTTCCTCAACCTGGCGCTGGCGGACCTCCTGTGCTGCCTCTCGCTGCCGCTGCTCATGGTGCCTCTGGCCCACGACGACCACTGGCACTTCGGATCCCTGGCCTGCACGTTGGTGAAAGGCCTGTTTTACCTGGTGATGCACTGCAGCGTCCTGCAGCTGGTTCTGATCAGCGTGGACCGCTGGATGCTGGTCAGCAGGCCCGTGTGGTGTCAAAACAAAAGGCGTCCCAAACAGGCTGCTCTGGCCTGTGTGGCTGTGTGGGTTCTGGCGCTGATCGGCAGCATCCCCCAGTTTGTCTACACCAAGCAGATCGAGGCGGGTGAGGAGAAGCGAGAGTGCGTCACGGTGTACTCTCAGCTCAGCGCCAGGCTCGTCATCTCCTACCGCTTCCTGGTTGGATTCCTGCTCCCCTTCCTGGTGATCGTGGCCTGTCACCTGGTGGTTTACAGCCGGGCGGAGAGCGGGGTCTCTCGGAGTCGGACCCGGTCCAAGCGGACGCTGAGGGTCATCGTTGTGGTGGTGCTGAGTTTCTTCCTGTGCTGGCTGCCGCTGCACATCGTGGACTTCATGGTGCTGTTGACCCTGCGTAACTCCCCTCAAAGTCCCAAGCTGTACCTGGCGCAGGTGTTATCGCTGTGCCTGGCTTACTTCAACAGCTGCCTCAACCCGCTGCTCTACGTGTGTCTGGGTCGGGGGTTCAAAGACAGCATGAACCGCTCGCTGCGCAACATGCTGCACTTCATCAGCGAGGAGCCGGCGTCCAGAGTGAGCATCACCAACAACGACACCAAGAGCTCCTCATATGCAAAGGACACAACTAAAATCTGAGGCTGTTCTCACTTATTAGCTACTCTGAAGAAAAGTGTTATATACCCATGACCAAGAGTAAGGGAGACTAGGGCGGTTGCAACCCTTTTGGATTATTCTAAAACAATGTTTGGTCTAGAGTGACCACATTTTGATATATTAAATGTACAGCTGTCTGCTAGTTAGCCATACAATCGTACCCTTACCCCACATCGATATACTGTGTTTTTTGCTATTCTGATAAAAGTGTTTCTATCCAACTGGGTACGGTTGCAACACCTTTGTATTTTTGAGTTATTTTCGTCTAGAGTAACCACATTTTAATATATTAAAGTTACATCTGTCTGATAGATAGCCATACATGTTAAAGATGATTACATATGACATTCACAACAATTTAACATAAATAGTTTACGATATTTATTTGAATAGAAGAAGTCAGATGTTTTGCGACTGACCCGAACCCTGCGAAATCCCCCTCGGGCCCAATCTTTACCTGAGCAGGTGTTAGCACTTCCTATACAGTTATTCCCAAGATATCAACAAATGTTATTGCATCAAGTGTCTCATACCAAACGAGGACTTATATTTTGAAATGACTTACTTTGTACTCCATAGATAATTTGACCATTTAGTAAAGTAAAATTGCAACACAAAAAGGCATTACATTTCACTATTTAACTTCTGATGTTCTGCCTTAATGAGCATACTATTCTTAACATATCTACAATCATGTTAGTTTTATTTTTCTGCCCTGCTCCCTGGAACACTTTTCTTGAAACATACGCGTCCAATGACCTCAGCTTGAGGAACAACATGAAGTGAAAACCCAAACCATGCAGTTTTCTCAGCTAATTTTGGAGAAGGGTTTTTGCTGATGCAGTTGAATGATGCATTTATACATTGGCATTGTCAAAATTAGAAATTAAGGAACAATTTGGCAATATTTCCTGTGGACATTCAGGTCATGCAACAAAAACACTTCTGTTTTTCGCTCCAATTGGATGTCTTTTTAGCCATTTCTATTAAGAATGTACAACCTGTTTGATCTCTGGATTACTTTTTGTGTGATGTAATTCAAGTTTAATGTAAATGTATGTAAACCATGTTTCATATATATTTGTATAGTTCTTGGAGTCATATTGTCTAACAGTAGCCTGCAATGACCACCAGAGAGAGCTACTCTCTAGATATCTGATTTCCAGTGGCTTAGGGGTGCATTATACATATATATGTTCACATTCATGCAGAAAGACCGATGTTTAAGTGTGTCAGACCCAAGAGACCAAAGAGAGATGTTAGTGATGTTTGTAAATGGGCTGTACTTATATATCTCTTTCTTTCTACGAGTCATTCTCCCATTCACACCTCATTCATACAGAGCAGCACCACTTGCTCCAGGGAAGCTAACATCCACACACACTCACACACAATTTATCGTAATTTATGATGTTTTACATTCAACTTTCTGTACCATTTCCGAATAAAGAAAACAACAAAATGTGTTAAGATTAAGAGCAAAGTTGCCTTTATTTACAAACTACATTCATTCCAAACAAGGCCACATGATGGTATCTACAAAAGCATACATATTTACAAGACTGTCCCCGTGTTTCAATGAATCTGTGCACTTATACATACTGTGTGTGCACGCATGCATGGACACTGGTCCCTTATATGGCTTCTGTTTAACCCATGACTGTCTCTCTGATGCTGATTGGCTGCTGCAGATCCATTTGCAAAGAGTGCCTCAAACAAAGTAAGTCCTCTTTAGTAATGCTATTTTTAATCGGTCTAATTCATTTCCAAGAAGCTTTCTGGAAAGAACAAGGTTTTGTACTGATTTGTGGCTAAATAAAGATAGCTGGTACACTCCAGATAAAGGTGGGGTAGGTACGTTTGAGAAACCGGCTCGAGATACACTTTTTGTTATATTCCATGGAATGCTCTTAACATCCCGATAGCAATGAATATCTGAAGTGCTTTGACCAAAAATCCATAAAGAAATATCATCTGTGGAAGCCGTAATACTGTAAAAAGCACGACCAATCATCTGAGCCGGCCCGGCTAAAATAACTGGATGGCCTACCTGCCTGTCAGCCGACACAAACTTATCTCGTGCCCTCATTGGTCATGTGCGCGTTCGTGTGTGTTGGAGGAGGGGCTCTGTAAGGAAGGGGCAGATTTTCTCCGGTTGTGTATTTTCAAATTCTAGCGATCTCGAGCCGGTTTCTCAAACTTACCTACCCCACCTTTAAGTCTAATTAATCGGTTGCCTAACCATTCAAAAGTGTTGTTTCTGTGAATAAGCACTAAGGTTTAAAAGAGGCTGTTACTTTGATTAGTACCACATTTGTTAGACCCGTTTTTCTGAGAAAAGTAATCGCCTTAAAACACTTTTAAGTAATTATTTCTAAGTTTAGCAAGACTTGAAGCGTTTGTACCCATTAGTCATTGACCACAAATCTATTCTTAATTACGTTAAAAGGCCAACAGACATCAGGAATAGCTGGCAGTGTATTCAGTCCCTTAGAGTTGAACACATCGTGACTCACCAATTATCATCAATTAGAGCAGGAAAATGCCCATTAGTGTCTGAAGCGTCGAAGCTACAAGATAAATTAAACCAGATGCCTTTTTGAGGCGGAAACTCAGTAGTGTTATTGGTCTGTTTTCCTCTGAGCTACATATTTTCTGTCTGTTGATTTTGAACAAGCAATCGGATGTTTATAAGCATCCTGGCTACCGCTGTCTACAAAGATATAACTGTTAGAGTCCAACAGAAGTGATCCAGGTTAAAGTTAAACACTAGGTAGTTTATCATTCTCCCTCCTTTCCTTCTTGGCCTCTTCTGTTAATGGCGCACGCTGAGTATGCAGAGAGTATATATATAATATACTGTCATTAGAGGTAGGTGCATTTCATGATTCATGACAAAATGAAGCAGCTACAGCGGTGCTCTAACCAAAGCTGTACAGCCAGAACACTGGAAACAATCAAACGTTGGCTTTAACTAAAAGTATTATGTCAACAGATTCAAGCCTACGTTTCAGTTCCTTCAGTGTAGAAACAGTGTGTGTGTGTGTGTGTGTGTGTGTGTGTGTGTGTGTGTGTGTGTGTGTGTGTGTGTGTGTGTGTGTGTGTGTGTGTGTGTGTGTGTGTGTGTGTGTGTGTGTGTGTGTGTGTGTGTGTGTGTGTGTGTGTGTGTGTGTGTGTGTGTGTGTGTGTGTGTGTACCCCCCTTCACCTAGATTGCAGGGTTAGGGGTTGAATGGTATGTTTCTCTGTTCTTAATCAGTGTTGTTTGTGTTTGTTACATGAGCGCTATGAGGAAGCATTTGTCTGTATATCTAGAAAAAGCACACACACACACACACACACACACACACACACACACACACACACACACACACACACACACACACACACACACACACACACACACGACAGAACATCCCCCTACCCTTTACAGGACCTTGCATTATTCACGTTCTGACTCACTGATGCTGTGACAGATATGGATGCAGGGCGACGCAGCACTTCAGTGATCAGGCTAACGGGATTACGTAATCAGGACACAGAAAAAGTAGTCCCTTACAGTAACATTAAAAATAAGACGTAATCAGACTACTTAACACAGGGGTCTCAAACTCAATTTGAGTCATGGTGTGTGTGTGTGTGTGTGTGTGTGTGTGTGTGTGTGTGTGTGTGTGTGTGTGTGTGTGTGTGTGTGTGTGTGTGTGTGTGTGTGTGTGTGTGTGTGTGTCAGCGTTTCCTCACACGGTGGTCATGACTTTGAGCGACCCCGAGCGGAACCTGAGGATCTTCTTCTTGAGTGCGTGGGAGGCTTTGATCTTGACGAAGGCTTTTGGTTGGATGTTGACGTTGGCGTTGGCGGTGGTCTTGGGTGTAGGTGATGAAGAGGAAGATGAAGAGGCCAGGCGAGGCGGCAGCTGTTGGGGCCAAACGAGACCCCCGAAATCATCCGAGTCACTGGACAGGGAGCTGGAGGCCGGGGAGTAAACTTCGCTCATGCTGGACTCGGATTCTGCGGGGCCGTTGTAGCCCTCCTCCCCCCGGCAGAGCGGCGCCCTCTGCTGGAAGTCCTGCTGCTGGGAATGGGAACAATGGCGAGCTTTTCGAAGTGCCCGTCTTATTCCCGCTGCTGCTTCCTCCCCTTCATCCTGGCTGAGCTCCAGGTTGGAGCACCAGCGTCGGCTCTCGTTGCCGACGCCCCCCTGAGGTCCAGGAACTCGGGTATTCTGGTCCGTTTTTCCTTGGTGCCTCTCGGTGGTGCTGTACCGGCGTTCAGGCAGAACCCTCTGACCCAGCAGGCTGTTTTCAGACTGGGATCTGCTGGTTTTACTGCTGGATTTCTTGGGTTTCGGCCGCTCGTTGTGGCTCTTCTTGGAAGTTCTTCCCTTGGAGTGCTGCTCCGAGTGTCTCTGGGACACTTGACCCGCCTGTCCGGGGATGAACTGAGCAACTGAACTGTGTTTGTGAGGATGTGAGTAATCATGCTGGGGGGATGGGGGCTCACAATAAGGGTCACGAGGCCCAACACCACAGTTGGGGTCCAAAGAGGGCAGAGGTGATGGTAGTCTCTCGGCCAGGGAGAGTGGTCTGGACTGGGGGTAGGGCAGAGCCAGATAGCAGTCCTCCTCCAGAGATGGAGCCTCTTCCCCCTGCAGCAGGTCACAACCCCAGCCCTGGCTCTGAGAAAGGTCAACATGTGGCAGCAGATGGGGGTCAGGAAAGCGCTGCTTCGAGGAAAAGGAAGGAGTTCTCTTGCGTAGGGATGTGTAGTACTGGGGGTCGGGGGTCAGGGTGGTGCGAGGCCAACAGTGCCGTGATTTGAGGGTGTAGCGCTGGACGAGACTCAGGATGTAACCCTCCACCCTCACAGCCCGCTGGTATTCCTCCTCTGAGACCTGGTACTCCTGCCAGGCGTCCCACTGCCAGGCCTCCTCAGCGATACCCTCCAGAGGCGGGTACGGGGCGGAGAAAGATCGGGGTAACGAGGTGCGAAGGACGGGCACCTCCACGTCTCCGTTCAGCATCAGGGGGTCGTCTGATGACAGAAACAATGCTGTTTACAACATGATGGGGAAGGATTATAACACATAAACACAGCGGTGCAGGGATGATGTATTTCTGTGTTGGACCCTGAAGGCAGCATCTCCCTGGTCCAATGGGATTTCTCCATGTGATTTTGGATTATTGCATTAAAAAAAATCAGCAGGATAATATATTAACACTACTTTATGATTTTTTAAGTAAAAAGCTAACATTAGGCTATAAAGGAACTACAGCACGGTCACATGACTTCACATCACCACCGCTAAGCTAAAGGTGGCTAATGTTGGGCTATAAAGGAACTACAGCACGGTCACATGACTTCACATCACCACCGCTAAGCTAAAGGTGGCTAATGTTGGGCTATAAAGGAACTACAGCACGGTCACATGACTTCACGTCACCACCGCTAAGCTAAAGGTGGCTAATGTTGGGCTATAAAGGAACTACAGCACGGTCACATGACTTCACATCACCACCGCTAAGCTAAAGGTGGCTAATGTTGGGCTATAAAGGAACTACAGCACGGTCACATGACTTCACATCACCACCGCTAAGCTAAAGGTGGCTAATGTTGGGCTATAAAGGAACTACAGCACGGTCACATGACTTCACGTCACCACCGCTAAGCTAAAGGTGGCTGATGTTGGGCTATAAAGGAACTACAGCACGGTCACATGACTTCACGTCACCACCGCTAAGCTAAAGGTGGCTAATGTTGGGCTATAAAGGAACTACAGCACGGTCACATGACTTCACGTCACCACCGCTAAGCTAAAGGCGGCTAATGTTGGGTTATAAAGCAACTACAGCACGGTCACATGACTTCAGGTCACCGCTGCTAAGCTAAAGGTGGCTAATGTTGGGCTATAAAGGAACTACACCATGGTCACATGACTTCACGTCACCACCGCTATGCTAAAGGAGGCTAATGTTGGGCTATAAAGGAACTACACCCTGGTCACATGACTTCACGTCACCACCGCTAAGCTAAAGGAGGCTAATGTTGGCTATAAAGGAACTACAGCACGGTCACATGACTTCACGTCACCACCGCTAAGCTAAAGGTGGCTAATGTTGGGCTATAAAGGAACGACAGCACGGTCACATGACTTCACGTCACCACCGCTAAGCTAAAGGTGGCTAAAGTTGGACTATAAAGGAACGACAGCACGGTCACATGACTTCACGTCACCACCGCTAAGCTAAAGGTGGCTAAAGTTGGGCTATAAAGGAACGACAGCACGGTCACATGACTTCACGTCACCACCGCTAAGCTAAAGGTGGCTAAAGTTGGGCGTGATGACATTTAATCGTCTCATTAGGCACTTGTTAACAACCGCTGTTTATA